TTACGGACTTTGTACTGTATTACTTTTTTGGTTGCTGGCAATACAGACTTGTTTTTAATATTAAATCCTATAATTCTAGATCTGCAATTTCACTAAGTAATGAAAGACCATTTGAAAAACTTTCTACTAGTTATCAAGAAAATCAAGATTTGTGTGTTTCAGTCAGTCCTTTGATTTCTTATTAGAAGAAAGATTTTTAGTAAAGTAATATCCAGTGGCTTTAACATACTTATAATATACAGTAGAATCATATTTATCCAAATTATGGGGATGGAGGTATTTTAGATAATACATTTATAACCCTTGCTAATTATTTTTGGGAAATAAAATAGAAATAAGCATGTTATATTTAGCAAAAATGTGTATTAGTATAATCATAAATAATGAGTAATCTTATGCAATTTTCCCCTTACTCTCATGAGCAACTATGTTCTACTGCTATATGATGACAGCTACATAAAAGTCTCCTGAAATACACACATTATGCTCTAATATTATATGCATGAAATACAGCAAACACATTTAAGAACCTCTAAATAATGAAAAAATAATTGATAATACATGAGGATTAACAATTTGCAGACTTTATGACTGAATATTACTTTTCTCACAATTTCACCTAAAGAGGATTTTATTGTAATATCAAAATGTTATTTTACATGCATCTAATCTACATTAATGAATCAAAAATCCATACTTTTGCACTGATTCTAAAGAAAAAGGAGTGAGCTATTGCATTATTATGAGCATTAAACATGTTATGTTATTCTAAATATTGGGATGTTCAAATATGACCTACATTAATATAATGACTGAAAAAAATAGAATGGTTACATATTTGCAAAGCATGTTATCATTCAGATTATATGACCTATGCTGCAATGAATTTCTTCCATCATTCAGGAAACTTTTATTATCTCTTCAAAGATATTTTGTTAGGTGAAAATTCACACTCAAACTACTATAAATAAAACTAGGGTTTAAATCTGAATTATAATGAACAGAAGTGATAATAGTCAAGATATTGCCAGAATTCCAGACTTTTAAACTTCCTCTGTCTTCTTTTAGAGAAAATACTATTAAGTGATGATTACATAAATTGAAAACTTTTTTTTTAGATTATTAAGAACAGTCAGACAAGAATCAAGATTATTAAGATAACTTTTAGACTATTGAAAGAAGTAAGGCAAGTGCTGACATCTTCAGACAAAAAAAGAAAGATGGAAAACAGAACTATACAATATTGACAAAACTGATTAAATCTGTTTTAATTTGCTTCAAGGTACTTGTTCTGTAAAGATCACCTATGGGTAATATAATGACAAAGCCACCTTGGACACAGAGAGCCTAAATGTTCTGCAGGACCAGGAAATATATTTTATTTTCATTACACAAAAGTGCTTTTAAAACTTTTGGATCACAAAATCTGTCTCAAGACACTACTGGTAAAGATTTTGGGAATAATTTACTGATTAACTTCACAATTTATCAAAATTCTTCTTATTCTATGAATCATCCCTTTCCTTTTAGAAATTTATCTCAAGACCTCTTGATATGCATACTTCAAGTTCTAATCGAATGTGTAAAGCCAAAATGAAAAACGTCAAAATGTTAAAAGTGACAATGTCAAATGAAAAAGTGTCAAATGTGAAAAGCCAAAATGTTGAAATGCCTTACAAAACTTTCATTTATTAGCAAAGAAAAATATTAATGCGGTAGTTTCAAGAAATTACCCCCCCCCCCAAAAAAAAAAAAAACTAACAATATCCAAAAACAAAAAAAAAAAAAAAAATATTGCAAATATAAAAAAATAGAACTAGCAGCAAAAAACATAAGTAGAAACAACAATAAAAACAAAAAATATTGCAAATATAATAAATAGCAATAATGGCAAAAACATAAGCAGAAACAGCAATAAAAACAAAAGACATAGCAATTATTTACTTATTTTTTTAACATGTTGGGAAAACAAAAAAGTAGGCAACTGCACAAAATAAATTAAAAACAAAATTATATGTTTTGCTTCTCTAATGAAATTGTTTAAAAATATGTGTTTTGTATTAATTATTTGAAATTATGCTGGATTTTTATACCATGGTAGTTTATGGGTTTTTGAAATGGGTTCACAATCACTCCTGAACAAAGACAGAATAGCACATCCCCACTGCATATACTGACATACTGTCATGCACATTGTAAACCCTGATCAAAATCTGGCACCTTGAGATCCTTTCCACCACTAGACTTGTCAATTCTTTGCTCCATCTTCAACACATTCATCATCCTTATGGTTGCAACATGCGACTTCAAGATGAAGCTTGATACATTGCAGATTTCACATGAAATTTAGACGTCCAAGGCAATTTACAGTGAGACAGGAAGCACCATATGAACAATTCTGGGTCATATTTATATACCTTTTTCTTAAACAACTATTTTTCTAATAGCCTTCCAAAATATTTCAATAATGTAATTGCTCAGGGGAAAAATAATATGAATTTCATAAAAAAAAAATTCTGTGTTAAAATTTGTTCCACAACATTAAATTTTTTTTTAAATGAGGGTATAAATGTTATAATGCTATAGGTATAATAGATTATAATAGTCTCTTGATGATGGCTATGATAAATAAAAAATGAATTAAAACAATAAAATACACAGTATCATGAAACTAATTACAAGATTGATTAATAAAACAGGAAAATTCAGTATACCTTTATCAGACACAATCTTTTTCAGATTATTTAACAGTGATAGTTCAAGAAATTCTATTGGAGGTCCGCTAATCCCCAATGTAGGGTCTTTATTGTCGACATCCAATATAATGGCATCATATTGTGATCCTACGAAAAATAATAAAGCAGACACACCAATAATTTAAAAAATTCACTGAAGAAAAATGATGCATGCATTTAGTTTTGACGCTCATTTTCATAATTTAAAATAATCTGAAATAGGTTAATTCAGATTTTTAAAATGCCTATGAATTTAGCAGCAAATTAAGTTATTTACACAAAAATTAGAGCATTCAGAAATCATTTTGCTAGCACATATTTTATTATTGATTACATATTACTGATATTTAATGCTTTGTCTGATTATTCCTTTTTCTTACCTATTTTTATAAACTGAATGGACAGTAAGGTTAAATGCTGTTATATGGTTATTGTTGTTTTACTTTTAAATACATATACAGTAACAAATGCTGCATTTCAGTTCTTCATTTACTTTTCTGCCAAATTTCAGCATTTTAAATAAACATATTTTTATATTCAATAGCATATAAATATCTTATTTACTCAAAAATAAGAGGCTCTCCTCCTTTTTTACTACATTTTTGTTCTAAAATTTGGTTGGGTTTTATAAGCAAATGTTTAGGTACAGTAATTTCTGGAAGAAAGGCCACATCAGCATAAATACTGCACTCGAGAAAAATGGCAGGAAAAAAATTTAAATTACACATAATTGCAAGAATAAATTGTGCGTGAGCGCGTGGGCCGTTAGATGCAAAATCAACCGAATCTGATATGACATATCAGTTAAGAAAATACATGAATGAAGCATAACTCAAAAATAAATTAAAGGTAAGAAATGTGAAAATATATTTACTACACGCACACTTTATTACACTAATAAGCCTTTGTAATACCAACTCTAATAAAAAATGTTGCAAAACGAATATTAACTTAATGACAAAGGAATTTAAATTTTCTTACAAAAGGAATAAGGCAAACTAATAGAACCATCAAAAGCTGATTCTCCACTATCTGAATTAAAAGATGTGTAAATCCTGATCTAAGTCCAATCTTCCCGATCATCCATTCATTTTCTTGGTTTACGCTCTTATTAAGATTAATTTCAGCTTCTCTGAACTGCTAGGAAATGTTTTTTTTTACGCACTTCACCACTTTGCAAACTTCTTCATAAGCTCTAACGCATTTTCGCTTTTGGTATACGTATGCATCCTTCACTCTCAACACTCCCACCGCTTCGACTTCATCTTTGAGGATTTATTACCTGACAAATCTAATTGTAAGATGACAATCTAATGGTGGATGATGGCTAACTTTGTAGAGACAAATCTAATGGCTGTCAACCACCAGGATTAGGCACGGTCATAGACCATTTTTGACTTTTTTTCATGACTCAAGTAAATGAGCAGCATGGAATCCATTATCAAACCCTTTTGGTTGGAAAAAGATCCCTTACGACACTGCCAGATTTTTGTGCCACTTATGCAGATTGTTTCGCACATCAGCCGTTCTCGTTGCACAATAATACGTCATTAGGAAACCTCCCTTCAGATAGTCTTTCGTTAAAATGATCATCGGCTTTAGCTTGTCACCATTGGTGCACAAGCTAACACACATTAAATGACATTCTTTCATGCCCGTCGTAAGCATAGTACCGTTTTTTGCACCAGTTTCATCAACATTCTGTTTGCAAGAGAGTCGAAAGCTAATGGCGTTCCATCCATATTTTATTATCGTGACCGAAGAGTTTTTTTTGTCAATAATATCTGCCACATATTTTAGAAAAGATACCTTTTATCCTGCCAGTCCATTGGTAATGTTGACCGACTGTTTTTCTAGATGCACAGAATATTTTTTCTTTCATAAATCTGCTACACCAGCAAAGCCCTCCTTTGAAATCATTATGTTCTTTGTTTTATTTTAAATTTTGCTTGTAAGCGAATTTTTACAATCAAAATTACCATTCCCCTTCCTCATTGCTCCTTTATCCAGTTTGCAAGGTCGTCCTCTACATTCGGCCACCTTACAATACCACTTCTTTTGGCTCGTTTCTGTTGTGGCATATTTTTAAGAAGTTCTTTTTCAGTTCTCCAACAACGAATACATCTCTCGTCCACTTCAAATTTTCGAGCTGCTGCTCTGTTTCCAATTTGTTCAGCACATGAAATTACATTAAGCTTAAAACCAGCAATATAGCTTCTGTGCCGTTTAGGTGCCATTTTCAAAAATTTTCCACTCCCTTCTTACTTAAAAACTATCCAACAAGTACTTGTACCCAAACTGATGGAATCTGCATTTGGCAGAATGCCACAAAAAAGCAATTCATGCTGAAGGCGAAATACGTCAGAGTTTGTTACTGCGAGGCGGGAGTCTGTCCGCCTTTGAAAAAATTGCAGAAAGGCAGGGGTGGGGAGATAATGGGTCCTGGAAGATTCATCGAATGGCAAGGAGAGAGACTATTCAAACTGATGATAATGTTAATTTGAAAGGGGGAGAATTTATGTTCTGAGATCCCATAAAAGGGTGAATAAGCATGTAGGTCGTTCAAGGAAGAATGTAAACAAAATACCGTTCGCAAAAAGCAACTGAATGGTCTTTTGTGTGGGAACAGCACCAGTCTATGTACAATGACAAGGCCATCCAAACTATTTACAATGACCATCATAGAAAATATTTTATTTTTAGTGCACCTAAACGCCGCATGAGTAGAAACGCCACACCCGCCGAAAATTTAAGTTTTAAACATGTAAACGCCGGGGTGTTTCTTCCGGAAATTACAGTAAATGAAATTACAGAATGTGAGAGAGAAGTTTAATTATCATACTATATAGAGTAACTGCACTGTTTAAATATTAGCATGTTTTTTAAGTAAAGGCCATTTTGTTGTATACACTATTAGGTGGTATGCACGCTGCACCGAGTGCTAGCATCATATCCCAGCATTCCTTGAAAACAACTGTGTTAGGTAACCTGTACTATCTTTTCTGTGTCTTTAAAATGTTCAAAACTGTCGAATCAGCTGCCTTGTGTGAAGTATGGTCAGTGATACATTTTTTGTTGGAAAGAAACCTGTATGCTGCAGACATTCACCAGCAGATTTGTGAAGTTTATGAAACTACTGCTATGAGTGAAGGCAAAGTGTGTAAGTGGGTCAGATACTTCAAACCTGGCTGTGACAATGTCCATGATGAGTTCCGGTTGCCCATCTATGATCACAGATGATATGGTGGCTTCAGTTGAAGCAAAATTCTTGAGAACAGACAGTTCACCATAAGCACTTTTTCAAACGAATTTCCTGAAGTGTCTAGGTCAGTGCTATACAAGATTATTTCTGAAAAGTTAAGGTTTAAGAAACTATGCTCCTGTTGGGTCCCTAAACTCTTAACGGATTACCACAAAAACAAAAGGTTTAAGTATTCGCTGAATTTTTTGACTTGTTATAATAACGAAGGTGACACCATGTTGAGTCAGATCATAACAGGAGACGAAATGTGGTTTTCACATGTCACGCCTGAATGGAAGCAACACAGCATGGAGTGGAGACACATTCTCCTGTAAGGGTTAAGGCCAAACAAACTCTGCCCCAGCACAAGATTATGGCATCCATGTTTTGGGATAGGCATGGTGTTATGTTGGTCGACTTCACACAACGTGGAACCACCATAAATGTGGTAACCTACGGTGAAACCCTGTGAAAGCTACGCAGAGTGATTCAAAACAAAAGACACTGGGAATTTTGCTATTCCATGACAATGCAAGGTCTCACACCATAGTTCAGACTCATGTTTTATTGGACTCTTTTGGCTTGAAAGTTTCGGACCACCTCCCCCTACAGCCCAGACCTTGTACCGAGCGATTTAATCTTTTCCCCTACCTCAAACATCATCTCAGTAGCAACCACTACAATAATGATGAAGACATGAAAAGGCCGTGACTTCTTGGTTATCGGCGCAGACAGCAAGTTTCTATGAAGAGCGTATTCAAAATCTAGTTAAGATATGATAAGTCTTTAAACAAACTTGACAACTATGTTGAAAAATAGAGAAACATATGTAGAATCTGAAAATAAATTTGTTTTTTGAAAATTTTCTTTAATATGTTTTCAAACGGCCTTTACTTAAAAAACACACCTTGTACTAAACACACTACGCACATAATTGTCGCATAAGTAAACTATCACTAATTACAATAGTTACATATAGCTGAGGGATCTCAGTTTAGGCCAACATCAGGGTCTGAAAATAAATTTGCAACAGTGCTTTCCTAACTTTTCCTCATTTTTCATACCCCGGTAAAATAATTTATTTAATTAGGTAGCTTACCTTTCATTCTAATCAGTAAGATTTCATCAAATATTCAGTTTAGTTTTTATATTCTAAAATTTATCCTAAAATATAAGGACGGTCTTTTAAGTTTAATTTCAAAATTCAACCTTTGGTTTAAAAATGATTTTAATTCACAGAATCAAGCCAGATGCCTGCACTTCTTTCATGAGTTGAAACTAGAATGCTGAGAACCTTTAAATTGGTCCTCCTAGTAGTTATTATCCTTTCTCCAGTGTTGAGTTGAAGAGGTTATTGAGTTAGATCCATGTAAAAGGGGTAAGGGAGGTCACACAGAAATTGAACATTCACAATTCTGACACACAACAGCTAATGGTAAAATAAGAAAATTTTGATTAGAGGGAACCCAAATAACAGTTTGAAATCGCCCTTCCACCTAAATAAAAAGGAACTAACAAATTTAAGTGCTACACAATATGATGAAGTATGCTCTGTATCCAAAACTTGATATCGCTACATAATGGTCATCTACAGACATAATTTATTATTTGTTCCATAGCATAGTCAGACTGTAATAACAGAACAACACTATGAAGATATGCAGAAAATTCATTAGAAACTGCATGAAAAAAAAGTGAGTAGTGATTGAGAGATACAGTGTGCTATTACATCAAGATAAACTTTGTCTAATACATTACTTAAAAAATTAATAACTTTAACTCTGATTCTGTCAAATATTAATTCTTATCTGAATTACTCATTAACAATTTATCACTACTTTTGGCATCTGAATTGTTTGCAGTTTGG